TAACCTGGTAGAAACATGGAAATACTGACTACATTTAACTGAAATTTTGTAAGTCCCTAGACTGATTTTTCGCCGCTAGACATTTTTTGTGATCATGATGAGAAAATAACATTAGTACATAACATGAGAACAGCTGTACTGGCTTATATCAAAGGTATATTTAGCCCTGGGCTAAGCGTGTAGGCATTTGGATCTGCTGATTTCAAGCGATTACCTCTAGTGCTAGACTAGAAGAGACAATAACTTGTGGATTACCATACATCTTCTCAACATGCTCATGGCTTTATGCAAGTCCTATCACCTCTGTTTTGTTTCCCTTCTTCTGTTGAGTATCACAGGCAGAGAAGTGAATCTATTTAGTTATTCTTTGTCCCAAAACTCATCACTCTGCCTATGCAACCCTTTTGGGTACCTCTCCTGTTTTTTTCAATATTCTTGTTAAGAAAAGGAAAATCAGAAAGGCACGATTTTCCAAGCACAGATGCAGCACAGATTTAAACAGTGGAATAATATTGATCTGTTCTATTTCTTTTTCCTGTTATAACAATTCTTGGGGTGAAAGCTGCAGTCTACTTACTTTTCGACTACTACTACTGTCGAGTAATGAACTCTTGGTTCCATAGAACTGACTACTGTTAACAGCCAGATGGAAAGATCAACACAGAACACAGTTCTTGGAGATTAGGATTATTCTTCTCCTATATACATCAGTTTACATTTATCTATATAACATTTGGATCTTGCTTCATACTTTTTGGAAATCAAACAAGATCTCCCTCATCCACTTGCTTGTTAATTTCTTCAAAGAACTCCAACGTATTCGTGATGCATGGCTTCCCCTTACAAAATGCATGGTGACTCTTTACCACTAGGTCATCTTTATCCACACCTCAGCCAGTTCTCTTCTTTAGGCAATAGGCCATCAGTTTCCTTTCAAGGTCACCAGGCTTACTGGGCAGAAGTTCCACCCACCTGTTTAAAACGCAGCACTGCATTTCCTATTTTGCTGATACTGAGGATGTTTCAGGTGAGAAGTCATCCACCTCAGTTAGCAATTCAGCTATTTCTACCATGAGTTTCTTTACAATTCTGTTTCACACCTTGGAGCAACCTCTGCTCAGCATGATATTTGAATACAACAAATCCTTTAAAAATATAATAAATTATTACTTCCTTATTCCTGAAGAAATATTACATTTTCTTCAAAATTATAAACAGCCTATTGTCAGGCCTGACAAATTTCAGCCCTGGTCTAGTGACATTTTTAAGGTCTAGTTTCTTGGGAACCCTCCAGACAGGAAACATCTGGTTTGTCCCATTAGAAACCTAAGTCTTTTCTTCTAGATTTGCCTTACACAAGGCACTTATTTTCAAAAACAGAATATAAAAGATTTGCATTTATCCTGGGCTTGCTTTGATTGTATCAGGTACTGTACATTAATTGCAAGCACTGTGAGTGTGCCATTGTATTTCCTGATTGGGCCTATTTCTCTAATCTATAATTATTGTCATTTGAGCTTTTTTAATAGCATCGTTTGTACACTGTAAAAATGTACCAGTGATATGTAACTGGCAGACTGCTAAAAGTCCTGATTTAGAACCGAGACTCGAGTGTTTAGATAGTCTGTTAACAGAACAAGAAAGGCTGCATTACCCCACACAATACCCTATCTCATTACAAGGCAGAGTGGGAATAGAAAGGGATAATGTGATGATATTCACCCATACAGAAGGCTGTAGCCTACACATACTGACAGCTTAACTGTTGCATAATTTTTTTATAGGCAAAGCAAAATTTTAAGAAGGAACTTAAAATGCATAACAAAGGGCTGCTTGACAGATATTTTCAAGGAGTCTTCCAAGTGCGAATTGTTACATAGGAAAATTATAGGGGTATTTATTTGAAGATGTAACAGACTCTCACAGAATGAGAAAAGACAGTCTCTGAAAGATCTTCAGAGACAAGACAAGCTCATGTTTAGTATGACCCAAGTAGGAGGAGTGAGCTGGGAGAAGCAAAGAAGAAAAATCAGATTTGTTCAAAAAAAGAGCAAAATTGGAATGTTATTTTTACAGCATTTCAGACAGATATGAACAAGACAAGACTGTATTTATCTAGCCAAAAGGTTAAAAAGTTGCATAATAAAACTTGAAGTGACCTGAGCTTTATGTACAGATGTATATAAGCTACTATTTATCTCCAAGATTCTAGACAGAAAGAATCTGTTAGAGATAGGAGAAGCCTGAATGTGAAAAATGAAAGGGATGTGCAACTCGGAGAGGATGTCTGCCACAGATTGATCAGAGCGAGCTGAGGCATATCCAAAATGCGGTAAAGCTCCATATGAACAATACTGAATTTGCACTAAGTCCAGAAAAACTCAGGCTAGAGAGAGATCTAGGTTTCACCATCTGCAGTTGGTGACTCTGGATTACAGACAGTAGCTAAATTAAATTTGCAAATGCTGCTAACCCCATAGATCAGGTAACAGGGAAAGCGTGATGGGGATTCAGGACAGAATGCTGTGGACAAAAACATCAAAAAGGTGTATCCTGTAAAGAACATGCTAAAGGGCAAGGAGAAAAGAACAGACGACAGGAAATTGTACTACAGCATCCATCTTTTCCATTACTTTAGCCATTCAATCAGGTAATTCCATTATTTAGATCAACAACAATAATGCATCAAACAATTTTTGCACTCTTGTGGTATTTGCTGAAATACCTGATGCAGTGGGAGGGCTCCATTGAACTAACCAGGCTTTGAATCAGTCTCTGTTCTGTCCTGCCCTCTCAAGTCTGACAAATATACTTTTGCCCTATAACATTCCCAAAAGGCAACTTGCCTAAATCAAATTAGCACATCAAACTATTGTTAGCACTAATTAACTAGTAAATCAACAGGTAGTTAACTAATTAACACATCAGTGCTCCCCAGAGTCAAGTAATTTATTATTTTAGTTTCAGCAAATATCCCTACCAAGTAGGGTGAGGCAAGTATGTGATGCCTTAGAAACATGTCTCTTCTTATTTGAAAATGAGAAGATGCAATAGATCTACATTTTTAGAAACAGTCTTGTTTGAAAGTCAGAAACAAAAAGCCAGTTTTGATTATGTTGTTAATTGATTTTTAGCCCTAAAGTAACATGTGGTTCCAGTTGCATGCAATTGTTTTCTTTAATCCAGCAGTGTTGGCTTAAACTGTGTAAATCAACTGCTCAGGTTCCATTTTATTCAGAGCATGGGCATTTTCAGTTGAGGAAGACCACAGTTACAAATATTTCCCCAGCTGTTGCTCTTAGCTAAGAGGAGGAAAGATGGTACTCTGGCTCTGCTCTTCAGTTTTCAATTTTTTCCTCACCACCTGTATTATGGAATGTGGAACAGATGGGTTGGTCTTTGGAAGCTATATTGCACCTTATAGTAGTTTTCAATGATATGCTATACTTACTTTCCTACAGTAGTAAATTTTACTTATTATGTGCACTAAGAAGTTATTTTAAAACTGTTGTGTTTTCTTGAGAAGACTATACTTACGTTTAGGCAAGCAGGTATTTTCTGCACATAAAATGAGAATATGCTTTATATATATCTAGTTCCACAGCTCACAGATCATGTGCTTACACAAGTGGAATGGGGTTTTACCGAAGGCAATAAATACTTCTCTATTCCTATGAAATATTCTATTTTATACTGTTAGGCATTATTGTTTGTATTTTACTAAAATACAAACAGTAAACCTTATTTTTTTTTGCAAACAGAGGGCAGGGCAATCAAAGGATTAACACTGCACAAATGCAAACATGAAAACTCAGTACCCTGCAGTTAACAGAGCAAGCTGCTTAAAAGATGTTTTTCAGCTAATAAGAGTTTTGATTCATTCACCCAGCGAAGGGTTGCAGCAGCTGACGGCACCGCCCTTGACTTTCTGGCGCCGTCCCGGAGCTGTGTGACGAGCTCAGATGCTTCGCTGCCTCACCGGGTCCCCCGTCTCCTCTGCCCAGCTCTTCCTCCACCTTCCATTTAACCAAGATGCCAGCGCGGCCCTGAAGCGACCAGGGTGCACACATCATCTCTCTCCTGCCCACTCTGCTCTGTGGGCGGTAGTCTTCAACTGAACAGGACTACCAACAGCTGGGATGACTCTGTCCTGACCAGCTTTTTCTAGGTTTGCCACAGTCATCTGCCAAACCTCCTGCTCACTGGTTATTCTCTTTAACACTC